TATTCAAAATATTTCATATTAAAAACCTAAGCTCAAATGAGGGTAAAAATGTATGTGCACTTCTTATGGCTGAGATGCAGACAGGACTATTAAATTCAAACAAAAAGCCCTCTCAAAGTCATTTTTAAACTGCTACAGCCACATGTTTACCTTATAAAAAAAAAAAAAAGGAATTTGGTGCTGATAGGATTTAGATTTCAACTAGAAATAAACGTAGTTACAGTGTGCAAGCTGCATACACATTAACAATGTTTAAGAACAATGATGCTTGTGTGACATGTCGTACACAAGAAGAAAAATTCCTCAGACCGCTCCTTGCCCTAAAGGGAAAGGCAAGAGGCAGAAAAGGAACAGCAGCTGAGGGCGGGAGATGAGCTGAGGATCATCAGGAGCTACTGAATTGGGCTGATGTAGTGTATAAGATTAAATGAAAAAGCTGAGGTGTCAGATCTCTACTGCATATAGAAGAAAAAACACCATAAAACCAGCAAGTATTGCAACCTTCATATTACACAGTGCAATTTCAAATGTCACCTAACAAGTTAGTATCACCAAGCGGCGTAATAGTGTGAGATAAAAATTGTTTTCATCAGGAACTAGCAGTGTTTAAGCCTTATTTCCTTAACAGAACTATTCTAAGATCTACCTTCCATTAGGTAAACAAATGATTCAGATATCTAAGTGTACAGCCAACACCTATATGCAGTGATCCAAGACTTGCAACTCCCATTAGTTTTAAAAAATAATCAAAAATACAAAGCTCAATACAAGACACTAACAAGCAAGTCCCCACTGGGGAACATAATCTATCCTTTAGAACTTGCCTCATCACACAATTTTAAAATGTTTAAGGTCATTTGATTTCTACATCTATTTCTTCTTTAACCTCCTTGTTAAAATCATCTATTTTTTCCTCTTCCTAATAAACAGATGACTCATGGTTCACTGCAGTTCAACTATCCTGGCTGATTTCAGTGTTTAGATGAGAAGCAGAAAAAATAGACAGATTCCACAAAATGCTACTCAAGTGCCAGGCAAAGACCTAGTTGGATTTTGCTTAAGATTTAATTTACTATGAAAGTTCAAACAATAACCTGAAAGTTCAAGTTGCAGTTGATAATGCAATGACACCAGGATCTCAATAAGTCAGCATTACGAAGCAAGTCTATTTCCATTTTCACTGAATTTGCAGTTTTAGATCCAAGTGCACAGAAAATCAATGATTTGGAAGAAACCTTAAGCTTATTGCTTTGAAAGCAGCTCCATAATTTACTGAGTTTAGTGACTGCATATTTTATCACATTAGACTTGGTCATTCAGTAATATATAAGGCTGATGAGTGGTATCTACGTCTGGAAAAGCTGTAGTGGTTTCATGTCAGATTTCTTTAAGAGACAAGCCCACCCAATTAGTTGTAAATTTGAAATGACCACCTTTTGCACAGGAAAAAATAAAAATAATCTATTCCTGAACAAGTACTTGCATAAACTAACAGATAATGGACTTTAATCTTTGTAGTATAAAATCCCAAACCCAACAATCCATCACATCAAAAAACGGAAGAAAACATTCTGTTGCATTACTGTCCATGAAAGTTACCAGGTAAAATAAAGATTTATCTGGGACAATGACAGCTTCAACTCTTCATACAAGTGAAATCTTGCAGATTTCAGTAGGCTACTCGTACAAATACAGGGTCATTATCTACACATACAGCTGCTACTTACCCACAGAAAATGTGGGCTTAATAGTCTTGTCTGTGAAGTTTATGATCACGTGTATTGCTATTAAATAATGGATTCTAATTTAAAACAAAAGAGTACTAGCTTAGTTTTCTACCTTTAAAATAATTAACACTTCCAGGTGTTGTAAAATATGGTCAACAAATGTAATTGTGTAACAACAAAGGAAGTACTGAGTTCAGAAGAGGGGAGAGTAGAAAGAATATTTTTAACATTTTTTTCTCTAGCATCTATAAATGGAATGGTGTCAGTTCATTGGCAAAAGTCAGGATTTCATTTTTTCTTACTGTAAAACCCTATAATTAATGCAAACAACAGTTTCTAATCACTGGGTGTTTCAGTCTCTGCTGGGCCTCTGATGAGTCTTCGTATTCCTCTCTTCCCTGCAGGACCTTTTGGTTTAGCAAAACTTTGCTTATGTGCATGTTGTTTTGGATGAACCTCTTCATAAAGGAAGTCAGCAGTTAACTCGTCGCCATTATCTATTTCAATCTGAAAAAAAAAAGTTAGATTCATCTTAAAGATGTATTTAATAAAATGCAGAAATTCTGCTGAAGCTGTAAATGCTATATTAAAACCAATATGTGCAATAATAGTCAGAGTCCAGCATGATGTTCTGTACCTTGTGCCTAAGCACCTCACCTCCTCTTGAATAGCTTTTCTTATACTCTAACCAGTATCGAGTTTAGTGCATTTTGATTTAATTAGCTCTTCCTTCAATAAAAGCAGAAATGCATACACCAAGTAACTTCTCCTGCCCCAAGCTTTAGCACAGTGTACATAATAATAAATAAGAGTACACATTCCATGTAAAAGCAAGTGCTTATTAGTCCTTTGTTAGAAATTTCCTTTATAATAAAAGAGAGCAGCATGTGATCTTTCAGAACTGGTAATTTCTTTTATTTCTTCTCCCTTCGAAAGCAAAAACAAATAGTTCCAATGTGATCTTCACACTTTCATATTTTTTTTTCCACTATAAAGTGTATTAAAAAATTGTAAAAGCAATGTGCATATATGTTGCTGTCTCTTGAGAACAAAAGGGGGAGTACAAACAACTCACACAATTAGTGGAGTACTGCAACTCAGCAAGTATTCAAGCCAGAGAAAAGATAGAACAAATTTAATTAACAAAGAGCCTGAGATTTTTCTTTGTTTGTTTTGTTTTAAGTGGAAGAATGTAAACCTGAAGAAAACACTGTTTTGAAGCCAAGGCCCAGTTTTTAATTACAACAAATTCAGAGTTCAGACAAATGCTTTGGCACTGCATGTGAGCATTCAGCATTTCACGGCCCCCTAACTATAGCACTTGCCAGCCACTGTATTGCCATTGAAGTACATGCCTCAGAAAGAGTCTACAGGAATTTCAGGCACCACGTAGTACATTTGTCTCATTCTAACGAAGAAATTTGTGAGAAATGATATATAAAACCATGCAGCAATTGTATGTACTCAAGCTACACCATCACGGTAATAACTTCTTTCAGGTAGACAATTATCAGAAACCAAACCTCAAAACTATTCTGAACTTAGAATAGAAATATTAATAGGTCACATATTTCACATTTACATGGACCGTTATTGTGGTCTCTGCTCTAGAAGTGAGAACCACTTGTTCTTTATGCACAGTAGTATAATCTTAGCAACTGGAAAGACCAGCATTCTCCTAAGTCCTTAATTACCCATCAAAGGCTCCTAAGAGTCAGTTTAAGTTCCAGAACTGCTGCTTCCTTTTTCCTTCATTTTGAAAATCATTATGAAACCTTGGCCTTAACGGAATTCAGAATTCAGCAATAATGTGCCGTGATCCGAAGAACGACAGGCCTTTTAGTAAGAAATCATGTTACTTCTGAATAGTCCTTCAGAGTACTTTCAAAGACCTTCTTGCACGAGAACAGGTTTACTAAAACTACGTAGAAATTATGAACCTTAGTTAATAAGTATTTCTTGTTCAGAATAAGCTCTTAAATAGGTCTTTAATAGCCATACAGCACCTTTCATTGTTTACAGAAAGTGGTGGCAGAAACAGTTATGGTTAGATATTAAAAAGGGAATTGAGGGATGGAGTATTCCCAGTGTACTCACCTTTCGAATTATTTGCATCCACAACTGTCTTTCTACAATTTCTAGAAGTGGACTTTTGCAACTAGAGTACAGCATTCGCTCCCGTATACTACAGGTGTACCCTGGCATGGAGTAAATGAAAACTGCAGGAAAAAAAAAGCAGAACAGAAATAAACCTTATCAAAACCTGTATCACAGAATCATTTACAGCAGAAAGACTTTGCGAATCAACTTTATAGTATGAAAGCTAAAACACCCAGAACGTGGCTTTGTGCATTTTAGTTCAGTAAGTGTTTCATTCCTAAAAGGAAGTATCTTAATTTTTTCACATGACTACTGATCTATGTGTTGCTTATAATCAAAAGGAATAGTTCACTACTTTCTAAATATAAAGACTCTTCAGAAATCAGTCTGGCAACCAAGTGACTTTGAAATCTATGAATACAATGAGAGGTCAGACACTCCAAGTTATCTACTTTTATGATGTGTCTTTCTCTGCCTCAAGGTTATGGAAGTATTTGAAACAAACCAACAACATTTCATGTTGGGAAATTTTCCCATACCTATGGATTCCAAATAGTCTCCTTCGTGAGTATGCTTATACAGGAAAAAGTGGTAACGTGCAGCATCCTTTGGAATTCTTTTTGGCAAGTCCTTAAGTTCAGTATGAAGTGTGTTGGCTAGAATAATAGTTTCATTTTTCATATCAATTTGCTGTTAATGAAGAAAAACGGCATACAGTTAATACACAGAAAACAAGCGAGAGAGTATGACAGGGTAGAAAAAAAAAGATTTCAAGTACAGAATGGTAACTTATCAGTATATGGCATCAACACACATTGTTTGGTGTGCAAGTATTTAGTACCTATTATTAAAAATAATCTGAAGTATCTTATACTTGCCAGCTGCACGTAATTGAGTTCCTTATTTCTCAATTTCTCCAGAGCCTGAATAGCTTCCTTAGCAATAGGGAACGCTACTCCTTGCAGAGTTTGATGCTTAGTATCTACACCAACATCCGTTTGTACCTGGAACACAAGCCAATGAAAATATGAACAGAAACCTGTGCAGGCATTCATTTGGTTTCTGAGAATGCACTGCATGTGGTTACACACAGAGCTGTCAGCAGCTATTCCAAGAATATGCTATGCCAAACCATCAATCCCCTTATACAATCCCCTTATGCAAAACTTGTTTTGTTTTTAATTAACAGGTCACATTTGCTTGCTTACCTGAAAACAGTTTCATATATGAAGCAGCAGAACCCATGGAATTACAAGAGAGAACTGCCTAAGTGTCAGCGAAGATCTAGCTAAACTCTAGAACAAACATAGAATAGGCCAGGAGCAAAGAGTCTGATTTTCCTGTGCTGCACTGTACTTCTGAACTCACAGTGTTGTTCCTGAACTTTATCGTGATATGTTTTAGACAAGAATAGGAAAATGTGATTATAGGAAGCCAACATTCTGGGAAGAATGGAGAAAAAACACGTCTTAGAGAGACTGATCTTCTTGAAGGAAAAAAAAGAAGCACCTTCCCTCCCTCCCTTCCACTTCAGCATCCTCCTTCAAAAAGCCTATCCAAAAGAAAGCAAACAGATGAACAAGCAGAGCTTTGATTTTTGACTTCTAGGAGGTTTAACACAGAGTGCAAAAACCTATGGTAACTGCAAGCTAGACAGTTGTTCATACTCTAGTTATCTTAGACACAAAAACTATTTGAGATAAAAGAACAGCTGTTTTAAAGATACTTCTCAAGAATTGGTGTGGCATATCTTAATATTCATGCACAATTTCTCTGAAAATGAGCTCTGGCCTCCAGCATTGCCAAACCTCATCTTTTTGTGCAAGTGTTAGCTTTTGAATGCACTGACTTCCTTTTACAATTTTACAAACACACGTAACATTGGTGATGAGGCAGTTAAGAAGACAGAAAAGCATACAAAATAGGAAGTGTGGGTTTTAGATCTATCAGCTGAAAGATGTTCAGATAGTGAAATATTCAACAATGATGAAAATAATTAAAAACGAAGATACTTGGGGCAATATTAAATTGTACTTCATATTTTAAAGGACAGCTTCTCAGCATCAGAGAAGGAGAATGTGAAATCAGGTAGGCGGAAGAGTTTACTTTTGTATTAATTTTAGTAAATTTCATAATACAATCGTATGACAAATATTTGCAAAATATATATATCTGCATAAAATCTGACTAATAAATGTTATTAAATTGGCATCACAGAACAAAATGTAGTAAAAACATTAAAAACTAGAAAAGCCAGCTACGAAGTCTGGGGACAAGAAGAAAATAACCCAGCATAACACTAGATTTAGGAGAAGGAACCAAATCTACTTGTCCATGACATAACATATATAAGCCCACTAAAGCTAAACAGAACATCCAAGTCACTTACAAAGACCTAAATCATACCATCACATTTGTTAGCGATGGCTGCCAAGGAGGTAATAAAATGGCAGATGGAATTTGATGTGGGTACATGTAAAACATTATATGCAGGAGGAAAAATACCTTTCTTCTACCTGCGTGGTGATGAACTAGCTACTGACATTCAGTATATTTATCTGAATATTTATCTGAAAATGTCAGCCCAGTGGTTACTTTAGGCAAAAAATCAATCAAGCAATCAAGGCACCACCCACCAACAAATGAAATGTTAGAAGTTGTTAAGAGCACATTATACATCATTACACAGTTCAGCTATCAGTAACATGCCTGTATCTTGAATACCACATGCAGTTCTGATTTCTCCACCCCTCCTTTTCATAAATTTTATAGAAGAACTGGAAAAACTGCAAAGAAAAGCAGAAGGATCAGAAGTGTGCCATGCCTACTTCAGGAGGAAAAAGTACACAGATGAGGACTTTTCAGCCCAGAAGAAAGAACTGGTAAGGAATGCAGAGGTCTTGTGGATATAGTGGAGAGTGAGGGGAAAAAAGTGAGGAATGGCTTTTCTCTGCCTTCCCCATGCTGTCTGTCAGGGTATGAGCTCATAGATAGCAGGCAGCAGTTCTTTACGTAGTACTTTGCCAAGCTGTAATAACACTGCTATAGGATCTGTGGCCAACAAAACTTCATGAGGATTCAGAACAATGACAGGACTGTGTCTGATGGATGGGAAAGAAAAAAAGCATACAGTAAAACATCATATGTTACTTTGGAAGAGTCCTATCTGCAAAGGCTGAGGCAATGAGAGAATTGCAGGGGTTGGAAGGGACCACAAGAAATCACCGAGTTCAGACCCCAAAGAATATTCAAAGGAATTATCACGCCCTTCTTATCTTGCTCTTACACCCCTCCCAGATTCCTGCTGTTGCTCACTCAGTGTCTTGGCAGCAGTAAGGTAAACCTTTGATCTGATTAATTCAAATATTTCTTAGGTAATTATGAAAGAACATAAAATGTAGAAAATTCATTTTTTTATTTTTAATCATAGAATTGCTCAGCTTGGAAAAGACATTCAAGACTGTCAAAAGTCCAACCTCAACCTGACCACACTACCCTAACTCTAACAACCCTCTGCTAAATCATGTCCCTGAGCACCACATCCAAACAGTTTTTAAACACATACATTCCCTTAATATCAGAAAGCTTTTTGTTTGTGGAAGCTAAAGCATGAAAGTTAATGAAATACTGCTCCACTGAGCCTAACCACAGGTTTCATACTGGCAGAAATAACAAAGATACAAATGACACAATTTAACATACTTCAAGATGTTCCAAATGAAGCCAAAAAGGCAGCAACATACAGTTAATGCATCCTTGAGAAGTACTGCTATTGCTGCTGAATCATAGAATCGGTGTGGTTGAAAAACACCACTGAGATCATCAAGTCCAACCATCAACCTGAAGTTTCATTACAGAACATGAACTATTAGTCAGCGTGAATCGGCTGTTACACAACATGCACATAGGGCATAAAAGACAACACTGATATCAGAAGTAAGTGGTCATTGATACCATGGAAGTTTTACATTTTTTAATGTGTGGTTTGGTTTGGTTTGGTTTTTTTGTTGTTGTTTTGCCTAAAGCTAATCAACTAAAATGAAGTGTTTGGTAACGATGAGCATATTTCTACACTGAATTAATCAAAAATAGATCTGGAAAGCAAAGACATCAAAGAAATAAATGTTAAAAAAAACAGCACTGTTACAGCAAAAGCATACTAGGGAGTGAAAATTTTAGGGAAGATAAGGAGCTGTGTTTAACATGATAGCTTGCTGGCATCCAGTGGGAAAAACATGCCACATTTCAAACATGTGAACAATGGCTGTAAAATAAGGCTGAAGAACTCGTAAGATCAACACAAGATCTATTAAGACATGTCTGAATGCAAACAGAAGTTAAATGATGGAAAAAATTGAGAAGAGAATCCTCTGAAACATTTCAGTCATTGGCTAAACAGCAATTTATCATCACATTACTTGTTTAAAGGCACATGCTAATAGTCTTTCCATAAAGTATTTGTGGGAAAAGCAAATGGATATTTTTAAAAGAAATGGTTAGTTCTTTTGGATTTCTGTTTTTATTTTTATTGAACTTTGTCTTATTTCTTCCAAGTCTTAAAGACAAGTGAACTGGTTCTGGAAGCTCAGATAATGAGTGCTGAAATATTCTTCAGAATTACTCACTGCAACAGTTGCTATTTTGTATTTTTTCTACAGTTTCTGCCACCATGTGAAATGTGGGCTACCAGAGAAGAGTTGAGGCTGATCTCTGAAAGTGCCCTCGTCCAACCCCCAGCCCGAGGAGGACCACCCAGACAGAGCAGGGTACCCACACCCACACTCCAGGCAGCTTTTGAAGATTTCCCATGAGGGAACTGCACAGACTCTCAGGGCAACCCGTGCCAATGGTTGGTAACCCTCACACAGAAGCACATCCACTGGTATTAAAAGCATGTTAGGCAGCAGGCCTCCGACAAAGCCACTGGCCCTTGCAAGCTCAGCAAGATCACACTGCTCTGTCTCCAGCCATCAGCATCCTGCTGTCCCTACTCACTGAGTGAGACATTTATATTCTCATCCACTCAAAAACTTACTGAAGTTTTTGATTTTCTGTTCTGCCTTTTTTACTCTAGAAAAGCCTCTGCCTACATCAGGAACTGTGCATCCGATGGCCGAGCCATGCTGAAAATTGCTGTAGGTACCTCATTAATCTTAATTTGTCGAAGCTCCTCTTCTGCTGCAGTCAGAGGTGCAGGGGCGGACTGTGATATCAAATATTTTTTATATCCGTTCAGTGAAACATCATCCTGAAAGCACAGTATCAGTACTCGTCATTTGCAGAACTGAAGTATTTTTTCTAACACAGTTCATGCAGCAGTTATTTCCCATATATTTACATTCATTTTATTCAGAGACTGCAAGTCTACGTGCATTTGCAAGCTCTACTTGGCATCCTGAACAGCAGGATTCCCTGGGCTGCTCTTATACCCAACTGTACAGTGGGCAGCACTTCCAGTCAGCCCATAATTACCTCACTAATTAAAAAATAAGTCTTTGTGAAAACAGAGGTATACATGAAGTTATTCAGACCTCTTTATGCATGCACCTTGGAACTATCTTATATAACTGAACACACAGCTATTAGCATTTTCACTGACAAATTGCTAGCTACTAAAATTCTTATTCCATAAATTAAGATGGCAACTATGGACTTGAGTCCACTTTCACAGTCAAATTTTAAAGAACAGACAACTTCATACCCTTGGTTTAAGATAAAAACGTTTGCTTTCAGTTGCTGAAGTCTCACTAATAGCTGTTCTAGCCTATGTGATTCAGATCCCTACATCCACAATGGCTTCTGTAAACAACTAGCCTGGAAGTTTTAATGGTTACAGCTTTTGAAGGATTCATAAACATGCAGTAAGATTAAAAGACTGTACTGTTAGTCATGGGTGATTTAATACCCATTTGAAGGAAGGACATCTTAATCTTAAATTGTTAAATATAATTACTTTTTCAAATGAGAGTTATTACATTTTAACGCTTGAATAACACACAAAATTTTCAACCCCCTGTTTCCTTCATCAAAAAGAGCAACATCACCACAAATCAATACCAGTAAAATCATCTAATATAATTAGCATTCCTGAGAACATACCTCTGCTGTTCCAAATACTTCATCCTTAATATGACCACCTCCAAATTCTTTCTTAAGTGTTGCCCGGGTTGCTGCATACAACATCTTTTGACGAACCTGATATATCATAAAACAGGGGTTTGTTTAATTCTTTCTTCTGTGTAGTGTACACAGCTCAGGTGTACAACAACAGCATTTTGGGGTATCAAGTCCATAAACAGCCCTTCTTGTACAAATATTTTAAGACTTGAAAGTGCAGTCTGAAACTGCATTTCTTAACAACAGAACAGAATGAGTTCTGGAGCATGATGCTAATATATGTTAAATTCTCAAGTGCACAATAAGACATTTTACTATGCATTATTATTAAACTAATTTCTAAGCCAAACTGCAGCTTTAATTAGAGCATGAGCTTTAAAAATATAATAATAATTAAAAAAACCCCACAAAACAGAACAGAACACAATCCTTACTACTTCTGTTTAGGAAAAAATAAACACAACAGATTAGATCATTTGTCACCAGTCTGTCTACTGTAATGTGATACATCACAGAAAGAACAAACTGCAAATAACCTTTATTATTTTTGATTTGGTATTCAACTACAGAATGGAAAAATGAAATTTTCTAGAGCACAAGACCTAATGATGCTTGCTTCCTATCAATTTGCATCCAACATACATATTCCTCTCCCCACAGTCCCATTTTCCCCAGCTTATTTCACCACCATGCCATCCTCATCAGAATACCCCAATCTTTTCCACTCTATTTCTTCTGTGCACTCCAGCTCTTGGTCTCCTACTGTTTCCTAAGTGCTATCCAAAGTAGCGCAGGAATCTGGGAATAGATTTACTTTGTCCTCCCCTATCTCACATTTACTGAACTTGGAGCTAATACCCTACTTTCTCCTAGAAATTGATAAGGCTGACTTCCCTTTCCTCCCACACTCTGTAAGAAAGAGGACATTCTCAGATAGGTCACAGACTCATAGATGCCAACTGGTCTGCCAGCAAACCAAACAGAGTAAGCAGCTTTAGCTCAAACTATAATCTTTCTCTCTATGATGACACCAATGGGGATTTCTGTTCTATGTTCTTCTATTATTTCCATGAACACTGACAGAAAGAAGAGCACGATAATGTGTGCTTTTCCTCTGACCAAGCTAGAAATAAGTTGGACCAGCTACACTCCATCTAGACTCACAATCAGCTTCAAGGAAGATATCTCTACAGTTTCCTTGGCAGAAAGTGTGATGAAGGCTGGGGAATGCTTCATTCCCCAAATCCTTCTCATCTAGGATTTGGATCGAACAATACTGTTGAATAAATGTTACAAATTTATGTCCTTTGCATCTCTCCTCTAAAGACAGGCTGAGGGAGCTGGGCTTGTTCAGCCTGGAGAAGAGAAGGCTGCAAGGTGACCTCACTGCAGCCTTCCAGTACCTAAAGAGAGCTTACAAACAGGAAGGGAGTCAACTCTTTGAAGAGGGTAGATAATGGCAGGACAAGGGGAAGTGGTTTTAAGTTGAAGGAGGGAAGATTTAGGTTGGATGTCAGGGGGAAGTTCTTTGCTATGAGAGCGGTGAGGTGCTGGAACAGGCTGCCCAGAGAGGCTGTGGATGCCCCATCCCTGGAGGTGTTCAAGGCCAGGTTGGATGGGCAGCCTGATCTAGTATAAGATATGGAAGTCGGTGACTCCACTTGTGGCAAGGGGTTGGAACTTGATGATCCTTGAACTCCTTTCCATTCCAAGCCATTCTATGATTCTGTGACTACTACTTACAGGAGAGTGATCAGGTGACCAAGCAATAAAGATCCATTCATATCCTTGTGCATTCTGAGAGTCTAATCTGTATAAAATGTAACACGGTTGCTTGTCTTCAAGAAGAGGAAGAACGAAAGGATCATAATCCTTTTCCCATGATCCAAGTGGCCGCCTAGAGGATCCCAGAACAAGTTGCTCTAAAACCAATAACCAAAACCATAGGTTAGCAAATATATAGTTGATAGTGTTTTTCAAAATTAGTTATTATTATTATATATGATAATTAATCAAACACTTCATATTCTGTAACCATGCCCACAGGAATGGAAGTCAGGAGCACTCAGTGTGATAGTAAGCGAGTTCCTGCGAAAGCTGTGTATGCACAAAGCCTAACTTCCTTTAACCAAAATACAGTTAGTTGAGAAGCAGTGCACTGGCTGTCATCAAGTTCTTTGATCTGAAGAGGTAAGACTGATATCAGTGCTTAGCATAATGTGTACAGAGAAGAAATAAAAACTGCCCTTTGCTAGTTCATTTACTTTTAAAATGAAATACTTAATAGAAATAAGATGAGAGTAGGTTTTTAAAAATTAAGATTAGAATTACTGATTTCTGACACACTCCAATGTTTGTACTTATGGTAAGGACAGTAACTCAGCTGCACAATGAAAAGAGTTTGGAATGAACATGCTTGCAGTAATCACTTTAATTTGACTATGTATGTAGATAAACTAATACAGCTTCATAACTGCAGTCTCTTTAAATTACTGAAGTTGTTTATTATGTATAATTGGCTTAAATCCATAAAGAATACTTCAGATGAGATTTAATTATATGAACAACTGTAGCAACAAGATTTCTCGCTCACATATAAATCACATCTCAGCTTCTAAAGAAAAATATTACTCAGTATCTTTCAAAACATTTACCAACTTTCAAATATTAGACCCCACAGCCAAAGAAGAAACACCTTGTTTATAGGGTTCCCACAGCAGTTTAAGGGCCCATAGCAGCTGGCAAGCATAGTATCTTTTGAGAGTCTTGGACCTGGTCTTTAATACTTCAGACAGAAGTTCAACAGTCTCTAACTGCAGACTGTTTCAGACAAAGCTCTCTCCCACAAGGCACAGAGCATGAACAGCTCAGAGAGAGAGTGTGTGTGTGTGCATTTGGCACTTCTCTGCATTAGGTGCAAAGTAGCTGAAGCTGTACACATAGATAACCAGGACACCCAGAACGTACTTGGCAATTCTTAGCTCTAGGTGGCTTTATAATCACTTGAATTTAATAAAGAAACAAACACAAAAAAATAAACACGGCAACTATATTGCCCAGCAGCAAACCAGTTCCCTTATTCACTCAAATTAGTAGAACTCCATTTGAGTGTTGTCTACTCATTAAGGGCATTGCTGAAAGCTCCTGCAGACATATGAGGCAACCATTTTGCTTCCAGCATTCTGGAAGCATTAGAAGCCTCTTTTTGAACTATGGAAAACAGAATTAAGCTGATCTCTACTTCCACAAACAGACAAATTGTGTATACATATACACACACACAAGCACACAGAGAAAAAAGTTTAAGATAAAAATGGAAGACACTCCCTACTTATGACCTTCATTTTGTACTAAGAAGTATCATGTACACACAAGCACATTGTTTTAACTTTCCTAATAAAAAAATATAGGCCAAGACTTAGTAACCCGTGCTGCTGAGACTTGCAGTGATCTGACTATAATATTACTGTTGCTTCCTTGAGAAAAGCAGGGAAAAACGGAAGCAAACACAAAGAATATAACAGCAAGTTACTTACCTAACAATAAATGTACGTATGTGTATGCGTGTACACACACACCTTTCTCTAGCTAACAGGTTTTTCAGTGTATTGTAATGAGTGAACTTTGGGAAGAAGAGAAAAAAGAGGTAACGAGGTGGGCATGTAATGGGTACTAATGTACTTCTGAAAGAAGCAATGGGTCTTGGGAGAATATGAAATGACATTTGGAAGAAAAATTCTAATTTAGCATCACCAAGACTCAAATTCTACCTCTAGGATATGAAAGACCTTGGTAAGATTAAGCTTTGAAGAGTTCTTGTTTTTTTAAATAATTCTACATGAAAATCACTAAAATAGTTAGGGAAATATCCAAAAGAATACGGGAAAAATAGTAAAACTTGACTGACCATTGTCAATGACTATTTTCAAAATTCTGTATTTTCCATTTCTGGCTCCAACAAAGATGTCTTTAACATTTTCACTTGCTGAAAAAGAGAAAATAAAAGTAAGCAAATTAACACATTCTTCTTTCCAACAACAAAGAGTACTCAGGAAGGTAAAAACGACACTGGAAAAGCATACACCTGGCCCACCACTATGATGCTGGACTGAAAAAGGAACACAGGAGTGGTCAAATGCTGTTCCAGCCACAGGCAAGCCACAGAAAGATCACAGACAACATTACAAACATCTGCAAAACAGCCCTGCTCAGTTGCAATACCGTATCATTCTCAACATTGTGAAAATTCAAGGTGACATCACATCATCACTCTCAGGTTTCCCAGTTCACACAGTAACACAACACAAATACAATGCATCTCAAATTACAGGAGCTTCATGAAGTCTGAAAGTTTGCAGTAAGCCTGCAGACACAAACTTGATGCCTGCCAGGAAAATGTTAGAGCCTGTCTGCAAAAATCACCTGCCTTTCCTAAGGATGCCTCTCTGAAGGGTACCAAGGAAGGCTAACACTCTTGATTCATCTTCTCTATCAAGTCATGACCTTGCAAGCATTTTGCTGACACTTTTCAATCCCTGACCCATCACAATAGGGCAGATTAAATGAATTCACAAATTTCTGTAATTGACATTGATATTACAATACAGGTATGATCAACCCCTTCTGTAGGCACGAGGAAGAATTGTGCTCGAGTCCTGAAGACGTTATTCTAATTTCAACTGCTTTGCTAAATGATCTGTGTGCAGATCAGTTTAATTATACCCCGGACAGGGGGCTGTCCTGCACTTACTAAAGAACACTTGTTGCAATCTGGTCCTTTAAGTAACCCCACAGCACAGAGGACAGCACCCGCAAAACAAACAGCAAACCAGGAAACAAAGAAAAAGGATTATTTACAGTCACAATGAGGCCGAAGGAACAGATGGCATCTGGCTGTACTTCTACCCATATTCAAAATATGTAAAACTCAGGTCCATGAAAGCAAAGGGCAGGTCCATTCTGGAATTCCACAATGGGCTGGGGGATGGAGATGAAGCATGGGCATTTACACAAACAGAACTGTGCTGGATTTCCAGTCCAAGCCCACCTTCATCTCAGTTAGCACCTTCCCACTCAGCAGTGCAGACCCTCTGTAATCAGCTTTTCCAACCATCTCTGCCTTTCCTCACACTTCCATTCAGCACACTAACATTACACCACCTTCCTGACTTCCCAATTCCCCCGGAAACACTTGTCCTCTTCAGGTCTACAATCCCTTGCTCTTTGTACTCTTGTATCAACTCTGCACACCAAAACAACACTGAGACACAGCAGTCCTTTGCACTGACACCAGAACCACAACAGCTCCTGGAGTCATTTTCTGAGACAAGATGTTAGTGATCGAGAGACAGACTCACTATCTGTGAGATACACTTTTTTTCTCCATACAGAGATCAGAAAATTCACAACAGAGCAATTAATGTTCTATTTAAACCTTCTGCAGAGCAAAGACCTCAATTACAGTTTGGTCTTGGAATCTCACTGGCCAACTTGCAGTTTAATTTCTTTTCTAAAAAACATTCATGATGATAAACATGTGATGATAAACATGTCAATTCTCTCCATATACATCACTGCTTTTGTTACAGAAGTTATATCTCAGTAGTGGAAAAGCTTCATTGTACACGTGGGAAGAAACACATGGGATATGTCTTAGTTCTACATACCCTGTTCTATCCAGCAGTGCAAGTTATCTGTTGTTTCACTGCTGTACTCAGGTGCTTTTCAAAGGATGCAACATACAGAGCTAAGATAGACAAGCTGACATGCATGAGGTCTGCTCTTTAAGTAATGCCTCTTATTTTATTACGTCAGCCCATGACACCATCCAGAGGTAGATGGTGGTGGTATGGCAGTAGATGGTGGACCGTCCCACCAATATTCCATTCCATGCTGTTGCTGTGTGACAGATGGCAGCAGAAGGGCAGCCTGACACGATGATGTCTGACATAGAAGTGAGTATGAAGTAAAAGCATGCAACTGAATTCCTCCATGCAGAAAAAATTGCACCCACTGACATTCATCAATGCTTGCTGAACATTTATGGAGACCAATCAGTGGATGTGAGCACACTGAGGCAGCGAGTGGTGCATTTCAGCAGTGACAACAGCTACAGGGGTCACCTCTGCTGGTGCAGATTCCTATGAGCATGGCACGCAGGCTCTTGTTCATCAGTGGCCAAAATGCAGAGCTAATGGTGGGGACTATGTTGAAAAGTAGCTTTGTAGCTGAGAGTTTTGCTTTATCAAATAGCGTTACAGTGCTCTTTTATCTGTTCCAGTTTCCAAAGAAATAAATAGGCATTACTTTAGAGCAACCAACACGCTACCTTCCTCAATGAGCAAATTTGCATTAAGTAAACTCTTTGGTATTTGAACAGTCCCTTTATAAAAACTGGTTACAGTCTTCAAATGACTGTGTAAAACAGCCTGTAAACGTACACACATACCAACAACTTACTCTGTTGCACTTTCAAAGTGATTTATCTGTAATATGGAACATTGAAATGCAATGAGACTTATTTCAAAAATACACTTTTGAAATAATTTGGAAGAGTTGAACATAGTCTTGTGAATCTCCCCACAGCTCAATGCACCCTGCGACTATTTATATTTGCTGCTTTGTTTGAAAGCCCCGTCCTTTTGCCATTCGCCTGGTACACATCACTGTCCCCATTACTTCATTTCTGCTTCCAGAAAAGAGCGCTCCATGCTGCCAAATCTTGTGATTGTTTATGAGTGACAGTAGCCTGTTTGTTGCTAACGCCAGCAACGGCACAACAAACGCTATC